GGATTTTTGGCTGGTTCAAAAATTTATGTTGATTTTGCTGATAAAGATGGAGAAGAATTTGATAAAGCATATGACTTATTAATAGAAGAACTTAAACGAAATGGATTGAACGATACCAATGGAAATAAAGACAATACAACGACCAGTGGAACTGTAACTGAAACAGAATCTAAACCGGAAGAACCCAAAAAATCTAAAGAGTCCCAAAAACTAGAAGAATCGAAAAAATCTAAAGAACCAAAAAAAGAATCTGAGCAACCCTGCGTTCAAACAAGACAATACTTAAACGTTCCTTTAGCATCAATGTGGAATGATCAACATGTTAAAGAGTTTCTAACTGATCATCAACTTGATCAATTATTACCTATTTGTGAATCGATGGATGGTGAAGCAATTATTGAATTTCATCATTCATGTGAAACAAAACCTGATATTATGTATGGATTAATTAATAAATCAAAAGAACATCCATTATCATTTGGTATTTATTTTAAATTTATTGCTAAATTAAAGAAGTATTTACCACAAAAATCAATGCGTAAAATTTATTTTCAATACAAATTTGTTTATCCGTCATCGAGTACAACTGAATCAGCAACAACAGAAAAAGAAAATAATCAACCACTATAAATTACAGACATTTTTTATCATTGGTTTTGATTATAAGTCACCATATCTACAGAAACACTTTTTTCTGTTATACAGACTAGAGTAAAAATAACAATGAGACAGTACTTTGTACTAGCTGACAATATGATTCTTTTTTCTTTATAGTTTCTCATAAAATAAATAAATCAAATTTCATACAATGACCTATTTAATTTCAATCTGAATGTAGAAAAATATTGCTTTCGATTCCAAACTGAATTAGAGATGCTTGAGCATCTTCAGATACATCTCATAATAGAAACATATACATTGCTTATTTTCAAACAGTGATGAGCCTTTCGAAAGTTTATAAGTTTTGCATATTGTATAATGCACCGTGATATACATGTACTATAACATATAGTTAAGGATAGTACATCATGGAAAGTATGTGTCTTGTGGAATATATAGTAGTGTGACAGTATTCAGTATCTATAATGAACACCGAATAAAAAGCAATAATGACTGCATGAAATATAGTGATCTTGTGGTAAAGAAGATCTGCTCTCCATCATAATGAAAAAACTTATTATCTTCATTAAACTCTTCCATCGTTGAAATGAAGGTGCTTTTTTTTCTAAAATTCAACACCAAGAAAAAGGCCATAAACTGGAATATATGAACAAAATGGCTATTAACAAATATTTATTAAAATTTGCACTAGCAATCAAATTTACTTTTTTCACAAAATCTTTCTTGTATAATGCAAAGCTAAACTATAGAAAGAAATGATTTATATAAATATTAATATGGTTCACATTTCTATATGACTTTGATAAATATCTGCAGATCCATACTAATAATGTTCTTTGTGGTTATTGGGGCAGATTACAGGTTGATTTTTAAGGAACAAATGCATAAATAGATGATTGTATTAATTTACTTTATAAACTTGATTTATATTATCGATATTGAAGACAGCATGAGTTAGCTAATTGAAGATCCATTATAAATGAAGCTTGAACTCCATAAGATGAGTTCGAAGCATAGATGAAAAAAGTTGGACCAGCACTTGTCTATAGCAAAAACAAAATGCTCTTATTAGAATTACACATTAGCATTGAGAGAGAATAGGACTACAATTGCAGAAGACAGGTAGAAAATAATTTTTCTGAGTTTTAATTTTAGTACAAATAGTGATGTTATTGTAGTAATTGATGTTTCTTGTTTTATTTATTGGTTAAGTCACAAGCATGATCATGAATATTCACCTGTATAGAAGCTCTTTTCACTGCGTAACAAAGACTTTATATAAGTGTCGCAATGTCATGATGCGAAGCGCCTCCCAAAGTGATGCGACTCATGCAGGTTTTTGTGTTCACAGTAATCATAAGATTTACGATGTGTTCTTGTATAACCTGAATGACATAGGTGCATGATCAAATGTCTCAGCTGTAATTATTGAATTCATCAATATGGAAAAATGAACGAGTATTTATTACTTAAGTTTCAACCGTGGTACAATAAGTAGCCCAAGTGTAAAGGTAGAAATGCACAAATACTTGGCACCAGCTAAAGATATTACGAAAACAATACAGAGCAGTCTCATCTCAATTATAACTTATCATTTGCACAAAATATTTTTTTTCTGCTGCTCTACGATAGTTATGGAACAGCTTAATCTCAAATATAACTTATAAATAAAATAACTTTAGAAAATGTTTGCCTACAATGGTCCTTATGTTTTTCCGAAGTTTTAATACATATTTGAACTCGAATTAGGTGTCTACTTAAAGAAAGAGATGACCAATCGAGAAAAAGATGTCACCCTGACGTGACAAGAGATACTCAATTATAAATCAACAACTAATCCCTACAGTAGCAGTTTTCTTTACAAGAAGCTTTTTTTTTTAAATTGGCTTCGCTGTACAACTAAGTATGATGAGAATGTTTTCAGAATATTATCTTGAATAAAGAAAATAAATACTTTTATGAGGAGAAAATTAACATTGATTTAATTGATATGCTATCTATTATTCGATAAAGATCAATCAATATTTTATGTTCAAAACATATTCAATTTATTTGATCAAAGAAGAAACAACGTCTTTCTGTTGTAAAGAGATTTGATCATTAAGTATCATTAGTTGTTGCCCTTTTCTTCTTGTTTCTTAGATTTTGACAGTCAATACTGAGATCTGAGAAGTATTACTATAGATCTCATTAGTTTTCTTCGTCTGTTTCTCTTTTGATAATGTTGTTCATATTATAATTTGCTCTCTTTTTCAGTTAACAGTATTATGATGGCATAACAATTCGGACTGTACATGAATATGTCTATCTGTCATCATGAAAACACCTATTGTGAATGTTCGTTTTCTTTTTTTTCTTGTTTTTTTTGTGATAAAACCATATTGATGTTTAAACAGTTCCTTTTAGTATTTTTCACGAAAAATGGATTATCACATGATTCGTTTGTTACCGAAAATTGTAAATAACTTCTTGTTGTTCTTTTCTTCATTTATGATGTGTTGCTACTTGAAAATATAAAAAAGGTAACATATTGATCAAAAACAATATTAGCAATATGATTCTTGTTGCAGTGATTACACTTTGTCTGTATCAATCTTTTAGCAGCTTATCATTCAATAAAGCACTTGAGAAAAAACTGAATATATTTTTAATGGAATTGTTTTTATTTATTGTGTTCATACAACTTTTTGTTTTATTCTTCAATATTTGTTGTTACGTTGATATTATTATTATTGTTGATGTTGTCATTGTTGTTGGAAGAATGAATTAAAAATTTGATTTATTTACTGTATAGCGGATAAAACGGTGAGTCTTTCTCAGAATAGAAAAGATGTTTTCCAAGAAACGAAATAAACATTGGAATAATAGTAATATTTCATCTGTTTTTTTTCAATTATGAGTAGTGGAAGCTAACTTTCAAGTTCAAAGTTCTTTAAATTCATATTTCTCCATTTATGAGTAAATTTTTTTGCAATTCAGACTTCTCGAAGCAAGGTGTGTTTGAAAGAATGAATATTGTTAAAGCATCGTGATAACATGTTGTTGTATTTTTCTTTTATTCATGTTTTCGTCTGAGTTTTCCTTTAACAGTGAAAATAGGTCGAACTATGTAGACATACGAATCTATTCTTATGTTTTTTTGATAATATTCTTCGTATGTCCATCATTTTGTACAGTTTTACAGTTTAAATGTTAATTAAAATAAATTGATGTATTTATTTATATGCTCATTTTATCTGTTTTATTGCTTTTTATGTTTGCACAACAATACTTATGTTCAGAAATTTCTTTTGTTTTTTCATCTTATTTAAAGCGTCATAAAAGTCGAATTTATTACATATGATATATATATTTTCTCTAAATGACAAATAATTTTATGTTGCTTTGTTCTGTTTTTATTTCAAAATCTACGATATTATGAAAGTAAATATAATCGAATAAATATAAGTGATAAGAAATATTTCAAATTCTGCTAAGATTGATTATTTCAGATTATTGATAAAAAGAATAGGTTGTTTGTTTTTTTTGTCGATATCTAGAGTATGCACATAAATACTCATAGAAGTCTGTTTGAAAATAATCTAAAAACATTATTTTTATTTAAGATAGGAATCATTTAGTAATATCCAAATGATGATATTTTATTTGGTTGACATCATCTGCAAGAATTTGATTGATTCAAATATATATATATATATTTCTTATTTGTTCTGAATAGATTTCAGCAGATGGACTAATCAAATATATAATAGATTATAGTATTTCATAAGTTTTCTTGTTGTGACACAAAATATTCTAAAAATTTCATGCTTGAAAATAGAGCTTTACGTCGGATGGAATGAAAATCATAATTAATAAAATTGTGACAAAAAGCTGTTGATTATAAATGTGAACATGAGATTAGATTATATTATCTTCGATATTTATTCTTCTTCTTAATTGTATAATTGGTTTCTTTTCTAATATTAATAAGAATCCAAGTCACCATCTTTATAAAACAATACTTTAATCTTAAGCAGACTGTTTCATTTTGCTTTCATCCTTTTTGCGTTAATAATTAACAAATAGTTCATTTTTGACACTAATTAGGAAAGTTTTAAAAAAATCTATGAATTAAGAACATTGGAAACTACACTAAAATGTCTTTACATGAAACAGAATCATGTCATATGTTTTTTTTTAAATTTGATATTGACACTAAAAAGTGACAATCATACATAGTTATTTGTGGTTTTTCTCAAGGAATACATTATCCGATCATATGCATCGAATATTAATTCGGTGTGTCACTGTAATTACATTACTAATTGAAGTTTTGAAAGCGTGGCAATTATCATTAATCATTCTCTTTTCATATCGTCTGGTTTTTCTCTCCCATCAAAATAAAGTATTGACTATAGCTTGTAATAGAAACATAAAGCTAAGTGATTTATTCTTTGATTTTTTTTCTCTGAAATCATTTTCATGTGTCTTACAAGAATTTTTTTGTACTCGGAAAATTTGATTTTGAAATATCACAGCATTTTATGTTAGGATAAATGGTACGATCAGTTTTTTTCACTAATGGATTTATTGTGAAATCATCTTTGCTAAAAACCTAAACGTATATATTGAGTGAAATTGGTATGGGGATATTAAAGGTTTGAGTATATCTACAATTTTAACAAAACTCAATTTTGATTGACATCAGACATTTTTCTGAAAATGTAAAAAAACGATTCATTTATTTAGATAATAAATAGTAATAGATCGAAAGAACAAGTATTTAATTCACAGTTTTATTTTTAATCACTAGATGAATAGTATTATATCTATATGTTCCTCTTGTCACATAACGAGTATGATGTGTTTCACTTAATCTGACAAGTCAACTATCATCTATATTTTTTTAGTAGAAAATATTTGCTAAAATTATATTTAAGAACACATAAAACAAACACTAGCTGATAAAGTTATCATTATATTTCAGTCAATAATAATTTATTTCTTACAATGATAGCTGGTTTATG